AATGATGCTAAAACCTTTACAGTGGAATAAGCACAGGCATGTCAAATCGGTAGTTGAACGTCATACTAGTTCTTATAACTGTACTGTAGCAGAAGATCTTCAGGTTAATTATGGCAAAAAAGGCAATGAATTTTGAAGTATAACACTGTATAGTGTATAGGAATAACGGAAGAAAAGCTGAAATAAGAACCAGGAAAGCTGTCCAGTAAATTTCAGAACGTAAAGGAGTACTTAATATTTCTATAAAATTATTATTGTCGACTGTTTGTTGCATTTCGTTCATCATCATTTTATATCAAGTTTCAACAATTTAGCTATTAGGAGAGAGTGGGTAATTGTAAAACAGTGAAGCCACCATAATTTATCTTCCTTGTGATTCACTTAGTAAATAGCTTAGGTGGTCATACTGGTGGGGTGATTAAGAGTACCTCCAGTGTAGGTAAAGTCTTACGTTTCACATTCACTCGTTTTTTCTAAATTTTCCCATACTGCGTACAGTTTCAGACCACGAGCATAGGTCTGTTGACACAAACCAATAGTGCTGCTCGGGGATTGTGGTGCCACAACGGCGTTAGACCCAATCACCTCAAGATTTGTTTCCTAGTTTTGAATGGCTGGTTCTAACTACTGATGACAATGTGACTTTCGTAGGACCTATGTATCACAATTTCAGCTGATAAGCATACAACACAGACTACTCGCCACCAGCCCAACTTGATAAAATGCCTAAAGGAATCCCATCTGTTCCATATAAAAATGTATTGCCAACATGGCATTGCACAAATAACCACATTTGGGCGAATTGAAATATTAACGACTACCATCAAACCATGAATTATATGGTACAACACGCGGAACAAAATCGAACCCGTCAAGGCTTACGGAGGTAATGTTTGGCTTCGGTATCTGTCGTCCAGCCCAAAGACACATTGCGTGTAGGGACAGTGTAATGATTGTTTGTACTAGTGATTGCTCCGTGTCTTATTTCGCCCCTGACTCCGGGTCAAAATACAGTAACATTAGCTGTTCTTGCAGAGTTCTCCCCAATTTAAAGACTGGTTTATATTCGACCAAAAAGTATGACTTGAGACGTTATGGGAATTAATACTTAATATAACTAACGCAACACATGCGAGAGTCTTGAAAAGTAAAGAACAAGAGAAACAGTTAGTCAACAACTCAGTAAGAACATATATAATTCCATTGAATGCTAAAAGTGTTCGATAGCCATAAGCAATGAAGTAGGAATAAAATTGTTATTATGCACAGATGAAAAAGAAAAGTGAATAAGGCTTATGTTATATCTAGAAGGTTGTTCTTGATTTACCGCGTATAACGTGCGCACTATAACGCCAGAATCTTTCCTTTCATCTGAACCCATAATCTGCCATGCGTCTGAGAACCGTGTCCACCTTATTCTCTAAGTCAGCATAGTCTGTACCCATGATCAGTATGTGATCGAGATAGGCCACGGTACCAGTAATATCTTGTAACATAGTATCCATAACTTGCTAGAGGGTTGATGGGGCGGCCTTTACTCCAAAAGGAAGTCTGTTATATCGGAACAACCCTTTATGAGTGTTTATTGTCAGGTAATGCTTACACTCTTCCGCTACTGGATTCTGTAGCCAAGCTTCTGATAGGTATAATTTTGCAAAATACTTACCCTCATTCAGTTTCGTAAATAAATCTTCTGGTACCGGCAAAGACTATTGATGGGCTTCAAGTGCTTCTTTTATCCAGTCAAATAATCTGCGCATAGCTGGATACTTCCATTTGGCTTTTTGACAGTCACTATTGATACTGCTCGATCAGAAAAGTTTACTGGTTCTATTATTCCGCTTCTTTGCAGACGCTCTAATTCTTGTTCAACAGTAGGCAGTGCTGCATAGGATAACGGACTTTTTGGTCTGAAGACGAGGGGAACTACCGGTTTAAGAATCACTAGTGCTATTACCTTTTGCACTCACCCAACTCTTCCGTAAACACTTAACTATGTCTTTCCAACACAACACCCTTCAGATTCTTTTCCACTGGTTTATTGATTCTCAAGGCGCTGCATATGTGGTTAATGGTGTGATTTGCTAATTGTAGTGTTTCTATTAGGTCTAGACCCAGCAAATCTAGTCCTGGGTTCTCTGTGAGATATAACGTTGCATTCTTCTTCGCGTTTCCTTTTGAAACTGTACAACAAACCTCTCCAACAATATTTAATTTCCCTCCAGATGAACTATGAGCTAACTGGGTTGTTGGGAGCACCTGTGGTTTACCGATAAGATTCCAGGTTTTCCGACTAATAAGTGTGATGTCGGAAGTGGTGTCGACCCGCAGGCGGGCGCGCTTTTCATTTATATCTAAGTTTACATACTTTCGTTAGCGTTAAATTTGTGCTCGATTATGTGATACCAATATTTTGTTAGCTAGAGCACAATATCTGTATTTCTTCGAGTAGGGCTTCAAAGAATGTCGCTTATGGGTTCTTTTCCTGGAGCGGTTTTCTTTATGGCCCTCCTGTTGACATTTGCTACAACAATGTTTTTTATATCGGCAGAACCTCTTATAATGCCAACCTCCACATGACCAACATAGGGATAAAGACTGATTGTCTGTGTGCGATAACTTTCTTGAGCAGGAATCTTTCTTTCCCCTTACAGCACGAACGTATGGCGACTGGCCATTATTTTCGACCATGGAAGTGTCATGTTTTAAGTTTACCAATCTCTAGCACTCCATGGTTACTTTCTGTAGTGTTATATTCGGACATTGTTCAATTTTACTCGAAATTCTGGTTCTAATATCAGCATCTTCGGGAGATTGGAGGCTGCACACAAACACGAGACACTCAAACTGATTTTCTGTCATTGGTAATAGTTTGGAGCGCTCACATTCACGGTTTACTAACCCCGCATGCTTCACGCAGTCATCATCACCTGCTTTTGTTATCTTGAGACATTGTTAACTAATATTAAACAAGGATGACTGTTCAGCAAGGAGTTGTGACAAAATTTCAATCGCTGCATCAAAAGAAAAATCTTTTGGATTCTTTGGAAGGATAAAGTAACTGTAACGTTCATGTCCATCCGTTACAAGTTTTCGTAAGAGTATTCTGACCTCAGCGGCGTCATCAAGTATTTTGAGGTCGACCTTGAACAAATCTTCATATTTCGTGAACCAGGTTTCAAAAGTAATGCCAGCCGAACCATCGAAATTAAATTCATGGATAGAATTAACGATCCGGTCAACATGAGATTTGAAGGGGTCATCTGTAACTTCCTTTTGATGCAGGTTCATTTTCTGGGTTAGCGTCTCTATCATATGAATCTGGAACTGTTAGAAACGTTTTTCTTGACGTTCCAGCAAGGTTTCAAATCGTTCAAAGGTAAATGACATCTTGCAACGATGACCCCATCGCCAGTTATTATATTTATAAAGTTGTTCTTGATATACCGCGCATAACGTGAGCATTAGAACGCCAGAACTCTTCCAAGTCGCAATAAGAAGACAGAAGACTAATGAAAAGAATATTATTCCTAGACAGTGTCAATTATAGTGCAAGACTGTCAGGTATTTATGGTTTTTAGTAAGAACAAAATCATCATTAAAGTCCACCAAGCAGCATAAAGAGGGTTATTAACATTGTTCAATCAGAAGCTACACGTATGAATTCTAGAACATTCTTCCAAAAGGTTATTGAATGGAATATTTTCGGCTCCTTCTGAGCCTTCTACAACCCCCTCGAGTTCACCCGTGGTCCGTCACAGTGGTCCGTCGTCACAGTTTTAGTTGTCTTACAGATGAAATGACACATGTTGCAATTAGTAGACTTTGAATGTTAGACTGAACAAACTCAAACTTCTTCCTCTTCACTTTCCAGTAAAGCTAAATCAACTACGTAATCGGGAGACAATAGGGACAGATAAAAGAGTTACTGTGGGAGGGGTCGGGATCAGAATGTAGATATTACGACACTTGAATTATAGCTGTTTTAAATAATGGATATAAATCTCAGGCCTTCATCTTGATCCGAATCGCCAACACGAAGTCAAATTCAGTTAACCTCATTCTCTGGAGATATTGTGCATAGCAGGAAACACGAAGCTCTCCTTCTTATGGTTTGCCATATATGTGAAATACCTAGCACTTGTAGATCACCAATGTAGATGATCTATGTCGAAATGATTGGAGGTGTAGTCGAATTAGACGTGAATCGTGTGACAAACTAGCTAGTCGAAGTCACACCTTGTGGTCGGCAACTTACGTGGATTACCCCATTGACGTATCAAGGTACAGTAGATGCTTTGGAGACTGTACAACACAAAGGACGTTATTATGGGAATATATTAAAGTAGATTCAAACGAAGGTATGACCACTGCCGCATGGGTCAGTCCGTGGCGTACGATTAACTGATGCGGGTTGGTTGTCCTTGACCTTGACGTGGATCGATGATTTGTTCGATACTCAATGACCTAACTTCCGGATGATTTGACTAGGGCTCAGTGGAATTTCACTGACCCTACACACTTTTACACTCAATAATTATATCAGGGATGCTTATATGATAGTACCTTTCGTTAAGAGCCTCATCTTGGACCATAATTTTCACTCTCTTCGCTTGTTAACCAGGAAGTTCTGATTCACGACAGAAACACGTTCATATAAAGCGCATGCAGATAGCCTTAGAAGATTGAAATAATAGCTTAATTAAGATTTATACTAGTATATGCAGTAATGACCTTCCAAATGAGTTTAAAAAATTCTCGAAAATAGTAGTTATCGATCTTCATTGTTCGTCGAATTATATTATAATTCTCGCTAGCAGTCAGATTTAAAAGGTTGTTGCGTAGTGACCTTGCTTGAGGAGGTTGTTCAATTCAATCTGGCAAGTGTAGGTGTCCGGCTTGCCTGCAATCGTCTTTTCTCTATAAGTTACTCAGGGTCTTGTCGTACGAAGTTTGCACCAAAAATCCATCTCCACATACTCAGATATACTTTTTATTCCATGCCGCAGAAATCAATCTTGTGAGTTATGTGTCTGGAAATAATGCATCTTAAAACACTTCATCTAAATACTTTCATGATTTTAATAATCGCCTAGATTGTTTGTATTAGGCTATATTTGTGGGTGAGTATTTTTCCTAGAGTGTCATATAGCTAAATGGTTTTGGTAACCACTACCTGTTTTTAGAATTTCAATCTCCCTGTTTTTGGGAAACGGCGCAAAACCCTGAAGTTTCTCTAGACACTTTTGGGATTTTCCCCAAAATCTACCCAAACTGGACAAAACTTTCTACAGTATATGGATGTTGGGTTTCTTGTCTAGAAACCAAAATTTCACTTCATGTGGTTTCCCTAAAGCCTATGGAGCCGAAAATTTGTGTACTTATATCATGAGTTATGTGCTACTTGATTTCCCCAAAAGGTACTACCGTAGTAATCTTCAGATAGCACTTTTCTTACTGGTCTCGTATTATCACCGAAATTTTCTGATGTTTTTCGTGAACAAACATGTATGTATTTGATGAAAATGGTTAAAGGCGCGACATTTTCTGATTTTTTCCACATGATTTTCGGTTCTGTTGAAAAGGCTTGAAATGTCATATGCGATGGGCTTTTTCGCAAGTTCTGAAACGGGCATATTACTTACTAGAATTTTTAATAAGGAGAGTTCTTCAATTAAGCTCTGATAAGCAACAGTGGTAGCTGGGGACGGTCTGTTTTCATGTTCAATATGTTGGGATATCTTAAATCAAGAACAATTAAGATTTGTTTTTCACTTGACCTGGGTGTATAGTCTTCAGAAAATGCATCGAAGTAAACAGCAATTTGAATTCTTCGAAATTTTTTTAGGGGATTTTATCATCTCCCTGTTTTTTGATGGCATCTCTCTACCGGAGCTTATCAAGTCTAATCAAAAGTGTTCATTAATTAAAGCCCTCTTACCATTCATCCTTCAAATTTTAAATACAACTGACTGAGTCGATTCCATAGAAAAAAATAAGTTTATATAGTAGTTTCCATATGATGCCCTCCTATTCAACATCGTTACAGTTTCTTCAGCTGGGCTTCAAGCTTTGATTTATTCTTCGTTTGACCGCCCCCAAATGCCCTGGTATGGCCGAGGGTGGGTAAAGTTATCCCTCTCGTATTGCTCTCACATGGCCATGAGTATACAGATACTGCCAGAGAAGTCCTACTCACTGCCTTCTTGCGGCGGGAATGTTGTTTTCAACATTGAGAGGACGAAAGCGAATGTCTGGCGCTTTAACTGGGTGGTGGACACGGAGGGTCCACCTAGGGTCGTTGGAAAATTCTAATTCTAAACCAATAGTGCACATGGGTTCCGGGGCCCTGAGGGAACACATGGAGTATGAATCTATTGTTCGTCAACGGCTACATTGGAGCTGCATCTCCTGACGTTGCTCCACTGCCTTCTGGACCAAACCAGGCGTTGCCACCTAAGAAAACCACCTGTTTTGATCTAGGCACCCTTGCAGTATCACATCCCACATATGTATTCGGTGCCCCTTTGTACCAATATTTATATGTTCAAATAAATAAATATACTTCGTTTGACAACGCTTTTCAACAATACTTTTTAAAATCTAAGAGAATATTAGCTCTGACCTTATTGTGCAGCCAATATTCTCTATTGTGTTCGGCCTACATGTTAAGGTTAAACCAACGATAGCAGTTGAAATCCCAATGAACCTACCAAACAAACACCTAACTTTTTTCGACTGGTGTCATAGTCAAATTAGATGCAATGACGTTTTTCACATGATCAGATTTGTAAAACTTCGTTATTTCTTTCTACACTTACAAAATATCATAGATACTAGGTCACATTTTTGGTGATGTGAAGTCAGAAGACCTGAGTTTAGGGTGAACATGGCAGTCAATCAAGCGTCAAGTCTTATACTAGTTCATCAGTTCAATTTGCCACTTTTTGTCAACTCCAAGGGATGAAAATGTTTCTAAGATAAAAGATGAGAGTTGATAAGGAGAAACATTTGAAAGATGTAAACTGGTTGCAATTCTAAACAAAATATGTGCATTGGAAATGTTATGATGGATTCGAATCCGAATTCTCCAGTTGAATCTTAAGGTTTCACCTACTTCATCTATAAAGCCTACAAAAATTAAACCAACAATAGTTAATTATATGAACAGACGTAAATATACCCAACTACTCAGTCGCTTTATGAACATGCATGTACATCATCCAACAACACGCGTCTTTGTAAGTAGCTTAATTAAAACTATTAGACCTAACTATTTATCGCAGTTCGACCGAGTTGTCCAAAACCTCGCAATTATAATTAACGTTGCCTAATCAACGATATCATACTAATCTAATGTTTCAAAGTAACCTGATTTTATCTATATCTAAATATCAGCATACTGTGGTTGGTAAATCTAATCAAATATGCTCTAGGGTTACAAGTTTTAATAATTTAAGCAACTAATATGGTTATTTTAATTCATAGGTGTTCTCTTAACTTTTGCATACTACGCTATCGTGTTCTATATTCCGTTTACTTTATTTGCCTTAGTTTGACTACTGTGCTCTACTGTTTTCTCATGTTAACTTAGCGGTGGAAAACACTAAATATGCTGAGTCCGGAGGTATATTCAACGTTGTACTTTATTATTCAACTGCTCATTGTTAATTCCCGTTCATAAACTCCAAGGATCAACAAAGATAATCCCAGTATTCCCCTGTACGTGAGTGGAAATGTCTCCATTCAGCATTTGAGCTCTTGTTCATCAGGAATATTCAAAGAGTGTTAAACTTCATCATCCTGCTCAATAGAGCACATTTCTCATCTATATCTAAATATAATTTTCAATTTATTCAAATACTATGTTAAGTACCTAGTTATACGTATCTTGATTTCGTATAAATCAGAGGGGTGCTTGGAAGTCTGACCAATCACCTGCCAAAATATATCTCATGTCTGTTCCTCTGTTTCCAATCCTAGCCGTCTGATTTCAGATACACTCTTACAATCTTAGACTATTATTTGTTGTTCAAAGGATTTATATCAAGCCACTGAAACATTGTTGAGTAAAATTAAACCAGTTAAGCCACTCATTATTTTAACTGACTTTATGCTTAACTTTGAAGTTCTTTTTATTGTAGATCATTCTTTTCCGGGAGTGACAAAAAAGAAACTGAAAAAACAAATAAGTAGTATTGAGATTATTGCTTACATTCTGTCGTAAGGGAAAAGATGATTAGTTCAAAACCATCTGACAATACTTCACATAAAAGCATAAAGCGCAGACGCATCATTGTCGAAAGTGATGATTCATTAACAGAAATGCCCAATAAAAGTAACTAATTTTTTTGTGTCTAAGTAACATTAGGTAGTGAATATGTTCATGTATGTCAATTGGAGTATAAAATCGAATAACATTTTAGAACGATATTAATTTTAAAGAAAGTGATGCAGAAATCCCTTCTAAATTACCTGATTTAGTACATCAGCAACCAATAAGTGTATGTTTCTCCTCAAAATTTGTCATAACCTAAGAATCCTACAAGTGAGGATAAATTGGTACAGAATGTGACTGATACAAGAATTAAAGACAAATTCAAGGACTTAAGTGAGTCTAATTTAGTCCGTTTTCAGTGTGCGAAAATTGAAGCAGGCAATATTCTAAGCAGACCGAATGTTAATGAAAAGTCGTCACGGAGTCCTGAAAAACTAGTTACCCGGTATGAATTGTCAATAATGTTATTTCTTTAGTTACGACCCCAGCAAAACGGATTATCACCCTATCCATGATTGCAACTGGCGAGAAGGTGAAAGGTTGGTGACTACTTGAAAATAACGATTTCTAGTGTCCCTTATTTATCATTGGCGAGAACATTTGAGTGTATTGAGGCCACATCTGGCAGGTAACATAAATTTAAATTGTATTGGTTTTAGAATAAAAATAACAGAAATGCTGTGCAATTTTTTTCGCTCAGTCGGTTTGTTGTCTTCATTTGATTTGACAAGCTGCGTTTACCTATGCCTCAACCAACTGGGACCCGCATATGAAGGGATGGAACTAGGCGTGGGGGAGACAGTCCTATTAAAGGCTTTGGCCGCCACTACAGGTAATTCCGCCTTTCTTTGACCATTTCTGATGTCTACTAACATACGACTAAAAGCCAAAATATCTTCTAGTAGTTGGTAATGTGTATCAAAATGAGGTCGAAATTCAATAGAAAATGTATCTGACAAAAAATTATACACCGAATGTATTTTTACTCGCTTTTGTTAGTAATTCAAATAGTTAAAACTTCTAAAGGACTTTGATAAACATGTGAATAACTTGTCTTCCAAGAGGCAATAAACTTGGTTTTTGCAGATGATTACAGTTTTTACCATATTGAAGGAGTGACAAATATTCACATGGCTCATTATTCATGTCCAAGTTGTTGAAGAGATAGCTAAGTGATTAAAGCACTCACCTTTCAATAAGTAAGTTATTGGTTCGAACTCCACTCCAGATATTTCATTTGAATCCCTGGGTAGTGTCAATATCCCTTACAGAAACAGTGCGTAAGATTGTAGTTGGCAGTTAAGTTGAATTATCATCTATTTAGTCTTAAAACCACTTAGTATGTGATGGCTGGAGGTAGTTCTTAAGTATTTAAACCTAACTGAATTAAGCACTTTAGAACCGGTCCCTAGACTACCAAGCTGTACTTCAGTAATGCTTGTTTTCTACACGCTTCTCTAAAAATGCAATAACGTCAATTTTCCTGAGCAGTAGCTTGGTGTTTGAGGCATTTGACTTTCGATTCAAAGTCCCAGACTCGGGCTCCATTACATTTTCTTAAGTTTAGGCAACCGAGTAATATTATTAACCGTCACAGCGTGAATTATGCTCAAGTACCTGGTTAATAGTTTTATTTGATTTTACTAATTTTAATGTAAGGTAGTCTACTTAATAAACAACTATTGTCTTGATAAAAATAATATTTTAAATCATTCAAAGTCATATGAGTGAAAGCTAGTTAATTTCGTTAACAGAAATGTCAAAGTTGGTCTGGAATAGTAGCAAGTGTTTAAGTGATCTGTATTCATCAAAATTAGTGTACGTTTGTAAAAAGATTTACTGACCGTTTCTAACTTTGTTATTTAAACTGTGATCGTTTTAATATTGGTTATTTTTACTCTTATATACATAGATTAGATATATATCCCAGTAACATTAGAAGGAATATCATTTTCTTTAATTTGGAGTATGATTAGGAGGAAGTCAGCTACGCTGAGGTTTTTCGTCTACAAGATATACGTGGCCTAATAATATAGAAATTTACAGGTTTCGACTATACAGTTGGAGACATTTTTAACCTCCAGACTCATCTGTTTTATCTAACTCACTTTAAATAATTTAATAATTTTATTATCAATTGGGAATTTGTTAACATGCTGTGCATGATTTTTATAGGTGTTGGGATCGAACATATGCGTTCGAGTTTGAAGCAACATGGTGATCTTGGTGTTGTCGCCGAAGTAAGTTTTTAAAACAAAGTTGATCGTACCCTACTTTTTATGTAAATATCTGTAGATAAAATATTTCAGTAGTCGTAGCTGAGTGTAATAGACGTTCATTCTACAAGTATGAGGACGTAGTAAAATCAGACGACTGGCTACTGTTTTTAACACCTTACAAAATTTTATGAATAACACCGTAGTATTTTAATGGAAATATGTTTTTATTGGTCCTATTTGATCAATATGTTCAGTATTCCTATTTTTTATCTTAACTTGCTTATGATATATAATCCTAAAACTTCACTGTGAATGGAATTTTTTCAGACTATCAGATCACGCCAGAAAATCCTGTCAGCTCCAAAACCACTAACCATTTCTCTAGTATTTTCTAAACTGAAAGATATTGCTTCAATGTCTGGAAATTCAGTAAGTTATTATATTCTCTTTTGAGAATGATTGGTGTGTTAATTAGCCATTTATTCTATGAAGTAAATTTCACCTTGTTGCTTTAATCTAAACAAAAGTTCAACTTTCATTGACCATATCTAGCGAAACGAAAGTTCATTGATGGTCATTTTGTTTAGATTGTCCCACTATCCATGGGAACAGACAGACTGATATTTCCTCATTAAGTCTGCCATGCAGCAATTTGTCCATCACTCTTTAAAACTTATCGCTGAAAACTTTCTAAAATATTATCAACGAGAAGTCTCCTCAAGCTTTCTATTTGTAGCCTGCTTTTTTCTCCCAATTAAACCTAATAAGTATCAGTTTGTTTTTCAAAGATTTCTTCAAATTCCAGAGAGTTTGGTGAATTAATTTCATCATGGGTGAGAAGTTTGTCAGTTTTTTACTTAGTGTTAGCCTCCTGTTTATGAACTCCATATATATTCCATCTTTTTAGCTCATAAGTAATTAGAATTTTTGAGCCCAGCTCCATTTCAATCCTAAATCCTATAGATGGATGCCAATCAGGTAAAGGTATGACAGTTTCTTTTGTATTGAATGGGAATTTACATATGGTTGATGCGTTGATAGTTTACCAGTCGTTGCTTTTAGACTTATCTCCATCACTTTGCTAGCAGAATGGAGTCATATAAGGACCCCATATCCGTGTCATCTTGTTTGTATCAGTATAATAAGTGAATAACAGAATCTCTTACATTATTTATGTCCATAAATAAACAATTGTGCAAATCAAGGTACTGCATAATGCCCATTATCATAACTTTGGTTTGTGACATTATCCAGCTTTACCTGCTAATTACCAGTCGATGGAATATTGACTTATCGAAGTAAGTTTTATTCGTAATTGTATCCATTTTATGGTCAGTGAATTTAAACGTTTATTACTAATAGCTATATTTCTAGTTTCTGTACTATTTACACTGTTTATATTTTAGAAATTGATTAAACCGCTTTGTACTTGTTTTACTCGTAGTTTCCTTTCAGATTAATTCATCAGATAGATTAAACGCTACAACTGGCACGTTTGTCAGTAGGAGAATTTAAACCTACTTGTACCTGTGTATTAGTCTGAATATTACTAAGGATTATTATCACTTATTTGTTTGAGATTTTCCACCGTAATTTTAACTAGGTGTTTGCATAAAATTTCAGTTGATTAGTAACCAGTTATAAAACCCTAACTTACCACAAGATTCAATTTTTCATATGACGCATATACAACAAACTACTTGAATCTTTACGCATCTAATTTTTTTCATGCTGTTCTGCGTCAGTTCTTTGATTTTATTAAAGCTTGTTGGAACAGTAAACTTCTTTTCTCATTCTGATAGTCAAATCGACTTCGTCAACTTTCCCATTCGCTTATTAGGCTCAAAACAAAAAGGTGGAAATTATTCGCTCGCTTCTAGTGGCTTGTCGAGAATCTGAAACTAAATATATTATACGTAGTTTATCAGGAAAATTGCGTATTGGCTTAGCTGAACAAACGGTGCTCACAGCTCTTGGTCAGGCTGTGGCTATGACGCCATTTCATTTTAAAGTCGGTGATAAAAGCACGCGAGTAGTTAATGCTTCTAATGGTATGTCTAATGAGCACTGGAAAGTTACAATGGATACTGCAGTTGCAAATGTTAAAAGGGCGTATTGGTAAGTTATTTATTAAGTATCTTTCACTTTATTTGGCATCCTGATTTTACAACCAGGTACCGGTTGATTATCTCACGTCTTAAATAAACGCTGGTTATCTGTGACTCCTTGTAGTAGGGTTTGAACCTTATCTTCAATGTAAAGTTCTTTATATTGTGTTGCTACAGCATATTATGACAAATGTTCTGCGGTTGTGATCGAAAGAGAGATATTATGAATACAGAACCTTGAACCTATGTGTATTGTCCAAAATTACCGTACCTGATCATCACGACAAGATTTAAATAACAAGAATAATCGAAGTAATGTAGTAGCAATAATAAAAAGAAAGACTAAGCCGTGGGAATATGATTTGAAAAGTCAGTGATAAGGTATGTATGAAGGGTTATAGGGATTCAAGAGTGAGAAACTAAAGGATAAGTATATCTAGGTAATTGTGATTAGTTCTAAGCCATGTCATCCAGTTTTCAACGATTGATCGAGGTTATCGAGTGGACCCTAACCAAGTGGTCTGTTTCTACCGAAATGACTTAGTTCAATTGTTAATGACTTCATGAACTAGTAACACATTCTTGTTTGACCACTCCTAGCTTCCCATCTATTTCTACACTAGTAAGCAACATTTTTCTAACTACTCCAGCTAATGAAGATCCACTACCTCATCAACCGATTTGCCATATTTGCCAAGCACCCTATGCATTTATGAATAGATTATTCGAAATTTGTTTCTATGTGTGCTTAAAATCCATGAAGTAAGCATTACCAATGTGTGATGAATTGTTTATCCATGTTCAGTCATATTTTTGTCTATTCCCTTTAAGAATAAAAAAACGTGAATGAGAATTAACTCAACTACCGTCAACTGATTAAAGAATGTCAACATCAAAATTCAAATAAAACTTGATATTTCTTTATACTAGCTAGGAGCATTATTAACCATAAAAGCTTCATTTTCTTTAGGTTAAATGAATCTAGGTTTGAATAGGCGTTGCTGTTCATATTCCCTCAGTTGGATTCAGAAATATTATGAACTATATGATTTCCTTTATTCTACCTATTTCTCATCTCATCTAGCGTTTGTCCAGACTACAGCCGTCTTATAAAAGCTCTTTTAACAAGTAGTCATGAATCTCTGGATCAAATATGCACAATCACTCCAGGTATTCCTCTAAAACCAATGTTAGCTTCTCCTACACATGGAATATACGAAATTTTAAAGAGGTTTGAAGAATGCGATTTCACTTGTGAATATAAATATGATGGTGAAAGGGCTCAAGTAGGTTGATATCGTGAAATAAAAATAAGTTTTTCTCTTTACAAAAGTTAACTTGCGTATTTGTGTCATTATTCTCGTTGGGACGTATCGGTTAAAGAGGTGTTGGTATACTGGTGTAAAATCATCATAATAATAATTTAATAATTTATTAACATTGATTCTGGTTTGGCCATTACAGAATACACTATCTATGCAGTCCACATTAGCAGATATTTATTACTACGTGTTTAAATCAGTCGATTTCATAGTTGTAAGATTGAGATGAAAGTACAGTTCAACTCGTGTTCATATTGCTTACAGTTCCACAGGTGAAGGGTCAATTTTAAAACGAATTTGTTCTGAGCACTATCTGTACACTGTGTACACAGTTTCATTATCAAAACACAGATTGTTTTAGTTACTAGCAGCCCATCCCCATTCGTTTCCTCCAGAAAATATCGAGTGATTTCCCCCGACGTTTATGAATTATGTGAAAGGGAACTACATCAGGGTCGTCACTGACTTATATTGTAAACTATGTGTAATTACATTTCATGACACTAAGTTCAGCGATTTTTTGGACTCTAGTCGAGGAATTGTGATGAACCAACAAATGCCACTTGTACACAGTATCCTTTCATACCACTGCCTCATGTCATAAACTGACCACCTCTCCGCTTTTTTCGACTCAGAACCGGGAAATAATGCACTGCATAGAAGTTACTAGGGTTGTATTAGTAAAACGTCCAAGCCACTAAAACCATTGTTTTAACATGATAACACTAATTGCACTTCCTTCATTGTGCCTAGGTAAGTCACTTGAGTCTGTTGGCTTGCGGCGCTTTAATAGTCGGATTTCCTTGCGGACCTCCATGTTATTAGTTAGATTCGCGTTCGCCACCCATAGTAGACAGGACAGTCCGACGTTGGTAGGGTGATAGATAGGCTGCACTGTCCCTTGTGAAACTGTCTATCGTCCAAAACGTCGTTAAAGGTTATTACTTGTCGTCCCATCAGCTCGACCGACTGTTCTGCTCACACCAGACTTCTCAATACCAGTGTTTTAAGTGAGTCGAATTAGCTTCCAGCAACTGCTGTTTCCAACTCGATATCACTGTCCGACCATCAGGTTTCTCGGTCGTTACCCAAAATCCCTTCACACAGGACTTTACATGTAACTTCGTACTGGCGGTTCATCGGACTATATTAGCGTGCGCCGAGTGGTTGTAGAGAGCTTTCAGATACCCAGTGCTTATAAACTGGACGTTTTGCGAAGGCACTGGTTACATGACCTGCCATTTTGACGGCTTCATGCAGACACAAGCAACGCTCATTTACATTTTTGTGAACTGGTAGCTAACAGCACATAAACAACAGTTGATAAGGATCCAATCGATTAGTCCCGCCTCTGCTCTGATGCTTAGTGCACAATTACTGCCAGCTAAACCGATGTCACAATCTCTGAAAAACTACATGTGAAACAGGCTTTTCGGATAGAGAGATACAATGCGAATGTCCAGAAATCGGACAGAGTTTTGAATAAGGCAAATATCGGTGTTAAGACCTGACTGTTTTGTTTGTAGATTTATCAAAACATAGTAGTCTAGTTATAATTTTCTTCTGCTTCTGTCCAATAACTATGAGTTCAATAAACGCAGTTACTACATATGCTAAAAAGTGATTGTTTATAAGATATTCTTACCGTCTAAAACTATCAATCAAAGCACCAGGAAGACGATCAAACTTGTGTATTCATGTTGACGAAATCTAAGACTACAGAGCATCATGAATAATAAATCACAGTGTATGGATAGCTAAAACATTTATGGTACAGAACTGAGTGACAGGTTTATGATTAGTTTGATGTAATTTATGGACTGCAAAAGATATATCAGCAACTGATAAATCAAAGAATCTTATAATCAAAACAGTCTAAAAATACTATAAACCAATATCTTGATAAATACGCATTATATATATATATATATATATACTCATTTAATTCTCGGAGAACATCTTCAGAATCTTCCCTTATTCTAAAAGCTTATGTTCATCATCGAACTAAAATTACGGCTTTTAAAAATTTATTTCAGATTCATATTCTCCCTTCAGGTGCCAGTCACGTGTATTCACGTAATCAAGAAGATAATACGACAAAATATCCTGATATCGTAAATAATCTGATGTGTAGGGTTCTGCCAGAGTCTAAACTAACGCCTCATGCAATTGAGCTACTCAGTGAAATTGTTAAAGATAGTAAAAGACAAGTTCAATCAAATGGTATAATTGGAAACAAACTGGAGAGTTGTATTATCGACTCGGAAGTTGTAGCTTGGGATCGTTTAGCTGGACATATTTTACCATTCCAAGTTTTATCAACGCGAAAGCGTAAAGTAAGTAAAACTCAGTAAATATTTTTAATTACCTTAATTTCATCAGTTTACTATTTCCACTGTATGAAAGATTACTGTGTATGCTCACTCATTTATGAGTAACCGAATATCCAACTAAGTATATCTTTATGAAAATTTGTCAATGTAGATAAAAGACCACCTTTGTTACAATTCCTCTTATTGCTTAGTATTCTTGGACACTACTTCACTCGAAAAGTCTCAAGTCAGAACACGATTGAACAGGAACGTGATTATATTCCAATTGAAAGAGTTGAATGGAAGTAGGAATCACAATAAGAAAAACGTTAGTAATTTATAATTTATACACAAGAAGATTCTAGAGTCTTCTCCAGGCCTCTACTAGCGCTGATTGGTTAAGAAATAGTCAGTCAGCCTACCGCAACACAATCTTGCAAGGGGCATGTTTTGATCTAATTTATATTCCGTTAACAACCTTCAAGTCTTTAATCCATAATAAAATATTTATACTCAATAATTTTGTTAAATAAAATCTGATTGATGCAGTGATTAAATGAACCAGATACATTTTTTACAGTAACTTGTACAATGGATATGCTATTGACTAAGATCTGCAAGAGGCTATCTACTTTGATTTTATAACATCATTGACGTTAAGGGTCACACGTTTACGCTGACACTTGAAATCGACTCTTGATATGGTGTAGAATTTATTTGTTTGCTGGCTCGGTATCAAAGGGGCGCATTTGACTTCTTAGTGAACGTTCTAAAGGTGTGTGTAATCTATCTAAACAACCATTTACTTAAAATTGTTTGTATTTATTCGTTTTAAAAATGAATGAATCATAAACGTGCCACGTTTCGCAGTAACTTGTGAAAGGATAACTACGAAAACTGAACAATTGTCGTTCATCAAACAAAGCATGAAAACAGACATTACATATAGACCTCAAATATTCGATAATTATTTTATCTTGGTTAAGGCTAGTAAGAGCGCTAGCACTCACTACTAATTATATATAGTTATAAACGTAGGCTTTTGCATTTTTCTGATTGGCTAAAACTGTGTCACACTTCCTCTTAGCATGTTTTGTACATATACTACCAGGAAATATACATTCCGTTTTAATGGCTTTTAGTGAATCTAATATTGGTTTGTTGTTTGTTTGTTATTTTATTGCAAAAAGGGCAAATTAAACATTTTACTAATGTTACGGAAATAAGTGGTTATAGTATACCCCATTTCCATCCGTTACTGCATTCCTGGTGATAGACTTGGACTGAATCAATGTGTTCTTCGGAATATGATTTTCATATTCACTATATGCGTGTCACTCCGCATATATAGACTTTAGTATGTTACCATTCATTTAAATAACTACTATTTTATGATTCTCTGTTCCTTGAAGAAATTCGATAGCTTTTGTGTCCTTTTAGGAGTAGAGTACCCTCGAGGAAGACTTATGTAGGTAGTTATTCACGATTTCACCTTGTTTGTCTCTGTTGAAAAAGAGCATAAGTTATTGTCGGCCAAGATTTATCTATATTAACTCATCTACACTAGGTGTGTGGTTTCCGGGTTTTCGGAGAATAATCTGTCACGAGCCACAAAAATTCCAGTGCTTGCTCAAATGAAATAACAGGCTTCAGAAATACACCATGTGTATCAAAGAATAAACATTTTTGGTAGTATGGATAGTTCCCAAGTGATACAAAACTCATTAGAATAAAATGTCCATATACAGTTAAGAATATATTCTTTGCTTTTGATTCTTAATATGTAAACGTTTGAGACACCATGGAGTTGCAAAGCTTCCAACGTCTTTGAAGATCAAGGTGTAATCGGATTACAAGATGGGTAGATTATAGGAGCACAATCAAAAGTCACTATGTTCATTGTGCGCACAATTTCAAGATGATGTTTCGAATTTAACTGACTAGTCTATCCGTTTATAGGTTTTTTTATGGACTGATCCGATGCTCCCTATATTTTCATGTTGATTATAATTTTTATGGTCACTCGGCGTTAGGAATAGGATGAAACCTCTGTGTTGTTTTAATTTGAATGAAAATTAATAATTTTATGTTGCCAACAAGAAATTAAGGATCTCAAACATATAATTTTTTCGTATTTTCTTCATTTTTATAGGATGTAGATGAATCTACACTGAAAGTACAAATATGCATTTATGTATTCGATATACTTTTTATAAATGGTGTATCTTTAATTGAACAGCCATTACGCATACGTCGAGAAATACTTCGGTAAGTCTGCACTTGTTTTATCGCATACACTGCACAAATATTGAATCTTGAGGTTGTCAATTTCATTTTATTATCGCATCGCTTTTCATGCACTATCATTTCGATCTAGATTTAATCAGCTTTAATTCAGACACATATTAAACAATGATTTTAGCCTGTCCTTGAAAGATTTGGTTTTCTTTTAAAAAGCTAGAACGATTTAACTTTTGAACAAACTACATTTAGCGTAAGCGCGATTAGGTAGCTGGAACATTATAGTGGATCTTGATTAGTCATTGACTAATGATTTTTATTCTAATACTACATTATTCATAATATGTAATGCTCTATACTTGAATGTTATCTCACAGTAAAGTGCCACTAAAAAAATAACCTAATGGTTTTTATTGAAGTGTTCACAAATTGAGCTTCGCCTAATATAACGTGATAACTTATAAGTCTTTTACCGGAACTCTCGATCCGATTTGCTAGCCGTTTCTAATAACTCCAGGCTAAATTTACACGGCAGCTTGAATATGAGAGAAAAGATACGAGGGCCGGTGATAAGAACTTATTTAACTCCCAAAATAAATCAAAATGATTTAAAAAGACACTACACTTTATATGATTTATTTACAGTTAGATTAACAGACAGATTTGTATAAATTAAACTGAGTTGTATTTAACGATAATAATTCAGTAACTTACTGTGTAAATATATATCATATTATGCAATTAAGCATCTGTAATTCTTCTTAAAGTGTAATGAATCCATATCACACACGATTGGAAAAAAATTATTCCCACTTCAACTGATTGAGCTATTACTCGTCATATTTTGGTGTATGCTACTTATCTTGATAGATAAAAGTAGTATGTAGTACCAATCGGAAGCAGAATGCATACCAGCAGAAGATTGAGTAGAAGTGAACAGAAGTCAATTGTAATAACAACGAAGTTGAAAGAATCATGAAGCACGCAAAGAATAACTGATGGAAGATGTACAAATTATGTATTTGATGTATGTTCTTCATATTTTACGAAAGTACTCTGTAATCTTACATTATACAAAAGATTGGACTTTTCTATCTGACTGTTTCTTCTCGAAAATATTACTAACTAATAACACCTTTTCAAAAAGTATTAATTCCATTGACTGAATGTTCTTTTCTTCTGTGAAGACAAAATGTTTGAATAAAAATTTATGTTTTGCATTACTTTCTACTGTTTACTTGGAAAAAGTACATTCAATGGTAGATTCACTAAAGTTGTATTAGGATGTGAAGTATTTTCTGTTATCAGTTTTCTGCAACTATCTTTTTTAATTTAGAGAAGTATTTCCGCGCATTTCTGGAGAGTTCATGATGGCAACCTCTCTTGATTCATCTGATACAGATGAGATCGCGACTTTTCTTGACGAAGCCATCAAAGGTAAATCATTTTCTCTGATTAACAAGTAAATCTAACAATTTCTAAACCAGAAATCACAAAAACCTTTGTAAGCAATTATATACTTAATAACTTATTATTTTCAAGCTATTCATATTTACCCGGAATTTATTAGCCAACAATTCGATAACCTCCCTGGTTGTCACGTGAAACTACTCGACATAATTACATTTCAACTTTTATACCAACTAGTCAATACGTAATTATAACTGTCAGTATAATATCCGAAGCACCTTTGGTTCGTTATCACCTCCAGCAATTATCTCATGGAGAACGACTCAAAATATTATCTTTCGGTTGTATTAGAGTTACGGCTCATTTGTTTCGGCATTTTAAAGGTTCATTTCTCCCTTTATATGTCCAGGTTTATGGAATTGGATAATTTAGGCCTTTGTTCAACGGTCATCGCAGGTACCATAGACTTTACTGGGTCGGTTTACTCTATCCAGAGCCGGTTAGAAGATCAATATGCATAAGTGGCAGCAGTTTTATTGACCACATAAGACCAACAACACATTCACAAACACCTTATAAAGTACACATTTGACGAAGAATAACAAAATCATCATATTTAAAACACTTGTTTAACATCTGCACCAAATAAATTAAAATTAATTACCGTATTTATATTCATCTAGGTAATTGTGAAGGGTTAATGATAAAAACACTGGATCATAATTCTACCTACGAAATCGCTAAAAGATCCCATAGCTGGTTAAAATTGAAAAAAGACTATTTAGAAGGTGTTGGTGATACATGGATTTAGTGGTGATAGGTGGATTTCATGGAACTGGTAAACGTGCTGGTCGTTACGGTGGTTACTTGCTGGCATGCTATGACCCAGATACAGAAGAATACCAAACAATATGCAAAGTAAGTGATCTATTGTATTATTCTGTTCTGAGTCATGTATGGGAGACTTCTAACCTACTAAGTTGCACCACCTTCAGGATATGAATTCCAAGATTAATGAATGGCTCACTCTCGGTTATTTCTTCCACAGATTGGTACAGGAATGAAAGATGATGAATTGGCTTCATTTTCGGAGTTTTTCAAGAACCATGTAACTGACAAAGCAAAACCTTATTATCAATACACAATTAGTTTAATTCCAGACCAATGGTTTGAGCCTGTTCAAGTTTGGGAAGTAAAGGCAGCCGATTTGAGTATATCACCTGGACACAAAGCCGCTGCTGGTTTAGTAAGTTCTTTCCATAGTTCATAGGTATTGTAATATGAAAAGGGATATGCTTGAAGCTATCTTTATCTTAATTAAAAAGTCACACTTGCATATTTAAGACCATCAAGTTGAGTAGTGATGTGATGAACCAATAAGTTTTACAGTAGTATCTCCATTATCAGTAAATTTCTTTGTCGAATAGATAATCTCTAAACTTATATATGGCATTGAACAACCACTTCGGGTTTGTTATCAGTTTTTGGTCATCTCCAAAATATTGGGAACCAATATTATTCCAACAGATACTAGCTAAATTAAGGATCGTCAATGGCTCTACTTGGTCTATGCATTTAATAGTCCATAAAACAGTCGTAAACCGAAATATCTGGTATTACAAGGTTGACAGATTAGTAACATGCTGTTGGAGAAAAACTTTACACTAAGAATGCAGATAAAAATTGTCTGCAGTTACGGTTTGTTCTTTGATTTACTTTAGAGATTTAACACAAAGTTACATGCAGGGTAAATTATGCCTAGTGCATTAAACTTGTTGCGTAATATCACTGAATTCTAAGAAGACGCAGACGGCCGTATTGTGACACGTTTAGCATTCAAAGTTTATCTACATGGCTATTAACGGGTATACTCATATTTGAAATTAGATGTAGTTAAATCGATCTTACTAAAGATTTAACTGTATAAGGAATATGATCATAATCAATGTTTTTAAATACAAGAGCCTATTCCCATGTTTCTTCCCAATGTTAGTCTTATTATGTTATCGTAATACAAGGTATAATATAGATTTCGTGCATTATATCTGTAAAATGTTTTTTTGAGTTTTTCTTTTTTTGAACTACATATAATCGATGTATATACTATCTGTTCGAAGTGATGAGCCTAATTAGTTTGTTTAATGTACACGCTCTTCAGGCGGATCCACAAAAAGGTATTTCACTGAGATTCCCGAGGTTCGTTCGGATTCGAGATGACAAGAAGCCTGAAGACGCGACAACAGCCCAACAAGTAATTTTTCTTTTGTTAACTAGTCTTCTTTTTGGGTTTTGAAGATGAATGACACAGTGACAGTGTATTTTATTGTCATACAATTTGTAGTTATTGTAAAGGTCTTACAAATAACAAGTAACGACCTGTTTACCGACTTGTTTTACATTTCTGACGAGTCGAAAATTCAATCAAAATATGCATCTTCAGTTTTCGTATTCGAAAATACACATTCAGTCGCTTCAGAATCTCTAGATTCTTAAAGCGTAAAAACGCATGGGTTTACTATGTTAATCAATTAAGAAACTATTTGGTCTCTATGTACGAAAAACTGAATACTTACATGATGCAAAACATTTCGAGTAAATTACGAATTACAACCAAATTATAAAGCAAACAATATAAACTCAAAGTAATGGCAATATGGATTTACACAGTTAAACTGTAAAGTAAGATTACTGGTTCCAAATTTCAAATTTATGACAGTACTACAACGATTTCCCTCAATTCCTTCAGAGATAACAAAACTGGTAATCAGCTCCGACGCTATCAATAGACAATACGTTTGCTGTGTTAAGATAACTGATCAATAAAGGATTGCTTTGTTGTGTGGACAAAAACTAGACAGTTGTCTTCTATTGCCTACCATGTTTGTATAAGTACCTAAATAAACACATACATTTCCCCACCTTTACATTTGTATTCCTTGTCGTTCACATTTCATTTAATTACCTCCAGGTTTATGAACTTTATCAAAGTCAAGAGCAGATAAAGAATCAGCATGGCAATATACAAACAGGAAACAATGATGATGAAGATATGTATTGAATTCATATTCTTTTTTATAAACACAGGGACCACCTTATATGACATTAATTGTAAAATATTTTATATGAAAATGATAAATTAAAATATAAAATACATCTATTTGTGAACCCATCACAAACACCTTCAGTTTTAAGTTTAGTTCAAATTACAGTTCGTGCACAACGAGAGTCACAGGAGTTTGGGAAGCGATCGTAATCGTTCTAAATCGAGAATTGGACTGTTTATAACGTTGGGCTCATAATCAAAAATGTGTGAGCATTCCGATACTGTTAAAATTGGTCGTATTGAAGTATCTTTTTCTGAAGAACAATCAGACAAGGTAGACAGATAATTAGTGTCAGGGTTGCGTATTTCAGTATGTTGTGTCATTTGTAATTTATCTAGACTCAACCATTCATTATATTTGGGAGCGACTCTCCACTTGTAAGGTCACCGCGTATATCAGGTGATTTTGGATCCATAGACACAAACGGAATGGAAGATGATGGGCCACTCGATGGAGTACATACAGAATCATCCCTTTGAGCCTTAAAGCAAATATAGTTATGTAATGCATTTTTGTGGTTAGCGGTTGGAGTACTATTCATTACTGGCGCGGTACTTTGTTTACATTTGTCATCTTCATGACATTCAATTATACCATGTCGCTTCATATAATCCAGTGTCGCTAAGCTGTAGTCGACTACGATAGAACTATCTGTATCCACTGTTCCACTACCAACAGCTTTGTTACCCAAATATTTATTTACTAAAGAAGATAAGTAAATACTTTGATCGGTATCGCCTGCACATCCACCATTAAGAAAGTTTTCGCTTCTCTTTTTCACATTAACTAAATGTATATCTTGAATAGATTCTGGAACAGCTAATTTCTGGTTCACATCAAGCTGGTTTGTTGAATGACTGGGATCAACATATGTATGGGTGTCAGTTCTAAAAAAAGATAATGAAAGTATAGTATCAAAAAGAATAGTTAGGAATATGTTTTACAAAGGTTAGTAAACGACTGGTGTGTATTTACAGCTGATCCACTGTGCTGACTGACAGTCATTTCCACATGTGTTCCATTGGGTTTTTAACACGGAACAGGACCAATGATGCACCAACTTATGGTAATAAAGTAAAAACGTAAAACTGAGGAACAACATAGGGTTTAGTAACTCGTTCGCTGTTTGATAAATGGACGACTTAGCAACACAAACTATCTGCTGAACTTTCAATAAAAATTACGTCCGTATTCATATAGTTTTCCATGAATCTTTTCTTTTGCGAGTCGCTTACTTATTAGTTATTAGTCGAATTGTTGCACAACCTTTGCAGCAACTGGAATTTTCCTTTCTAACTACATACTATTGAGAGAAATCGCCAACTTTCACATGTAATATCAGTATCCCTTCCTTTCTGAACCATCTATATCAATTGTACTGCGTATCGTTTTCAACGACAAACGTATTTTCTTTAGTTTTTTGTATCTTCGGATCTTTATTTGTAAAGAAGCGATAAAAATGAAACAAACATTTTACTGATTACTTTGATGGCGAATTTAGTTGAGGACTCTGGCATGATACAGGACCCTTATATGTTAAATAAGGAGATAGTCAGTTCTTGGAAAAAAGTGAAGGTCTAGTGCATTTAATAATAGATCTGACTTTTGTTTGTCAAATAACGTCTACTATTATCTGATGCTTACAGCTTCTTACTCAGATAACTGTGCCACAGCAGAGAAGTGCGACGAGTAGTTTGTTGCTACCATTGTCTAATTTCAGTTTACGTATTAGTTATTATAATACTGCATTAATTTTCTTCAAATGTGAAGGAATACTTCGGAAAATAACTTACCTTTTATAATTACCATTAGTTAATGCAGTATCATTAACCTCGGTAGCCGATGACAAGGGATTATCACCTTTCTTATTTGGATCAGACTGCAACCAATTTGAAACTCTTCGATTGAAATTTTCAGGATTTTTATCACTATTTACACGATAGTTGACACAATCGTCTTTTTCGTGAAAAACAATAGGAATAGAATTCGATGTACGCAATTCTTGATTGAAAAAGATTTTCGTAATATTATTGCTATCTGGATGAGGTGCGGAAGCTGCAGAATCACATCTCATTCTATTATTCAAAACTTGTTGTATATTTGCCTGCCATGTAAAATACAAAGTATTGATCGGTGATTAGTGCAAACGAAATCCTGGTGAACGGTTGACCCAAAATTTAACATACCAGCCAAACGCAATATAGAAGCTGGTACGTGTGTACATTGTTTCACGTTGCACACTCCATTAGCAAAGCAAGATGAGATTGTTAGGGCGAACCCCAGAGTATTAACAGTATTAAAGATAATAGAAAAGATCAACCATTACAGATACAATTCGAGAAGATATAAATTAGTGAAATAAGAAGATTATGTGGAATCTATAAACTTAGGTTTTAAAGGAAGATGAAAAACTATAAACTAGTGACATTGCGAAAGATTTCGAGCCATGTGATACAAAGTCTCTAACCATTGGTTACGATAATCACACAGACCCTAACTAGATAGGCTACACCCACCTACATGGCTCAAAGCCAATCGGGCTGGTTCTGCCCATAACTTTCTTCCAAGCTACTCCTATACCAGACAACATTACCCGTCGAGGTAAGCAGACGTACGTAATACATGTCTCAACCACCTCAGTTGTTTAAGATTCACCACCTTGTCAACTGATTTACCACTTACCTAGGGCCCTAGCCCAGGCATTGGTCACTCAGTGGTTTCAAGACACACGAGCAATGCTTCGAGGAAACCTATGGTCCAATACTAGCAACCCACGGATATCCTCTATTTAATGCCAATTTTTTACATCCACAAATTAGAACGGAGTGAACTGCTACTCTGAAAACTTTGGCTAAGGGACGGATACCTCGTCTATGCTACAAGTGATGCAAATTGACCAAAGCCAATCGAGCTTTCTGAATCTGTGTCGAGATTTCGCCAGACGCCAGCCCATCGTGACTGATGGGACTCCCAGGATAAGTGAAGCGGTCGATACGCTCAACTACTTCACTCCCTATCATTAGTTCGGGCGTTGGTTCAAACCAGTGCAGAAAAAACATTTTGCATTTGGAAGGAGAACAACGCATCCAAACTATGCTTTTGTTGATGCTCAGGATAGTCAGGAGACTGCATTTTTTCAGTATCTTCACTAAATGAAACTGCATCATCCGCGTACTTCAAGTCGACAGATGAATCTCTTGGTGTAAGATCGACCTCCGAAAAATCAGACAATGAGCGTTTTTTCTCTAAAAGTGTTTATGACAAAGCAATTCCGATAGCGGTCCGCCATAAGTTCTAACTCGACCAGTAGTGCTCGAGTAGAGAGCCTGTACAAGGTTCATTTACCTCTTTGATACTCCTTCCAATGACAGATAAAAAGCTCGATCAACAGAGTCGAACGCTACTCTAAAGTTTGGAAGTACGACCATAATTGGACATCAAAGGGTATATGTATGGATATGTGGTCTATACATCCGCATTCAGGTGTAAAACCAGGATGGTTTTCTCGGGTTCACTCTCTTCATGAGCCCTAGTCAAGCGTGTCCTACCCACTTCCAGCGCTTGTTCCTAATTTCTTCCTCCGCTGGGATCTGGTTTGTTCTCTCCCATAGTTGGTTGTTGCCGATAGTATCTGACCAACAGATCCGAAGTATTTTGCGTAGACAACTGTTAATAAACACCTGTATCTTCTGGATGATGGCTTTCGTAGTTCTCCAGGTTTCCGCCCCATACAGTAGAACTTTCTTGACATTTGTATTGGAAATTCCTACCTAGATGTTGGTTGACAGTTGTTTTGCGTCACAAATGTTCTTCAGTTGTAGATATGCTGATCTTACTTTGCCGATCCGCGCCTTCACATCTGCATCAGATCTACCATGTTCATCAATGATGCTGCCCATATATGTAAAGGTTTTTACATCTTCCAAATCTTCTCTGTCAATTGTGACTGGATTGGTGCATGCTGTGTTGTAACAGAGAATCTTGCTTTTCCCTTTGTGTATATTGAGACCTACTGCTGCTGAGGCTGCTGCCACACTGATCGTCTTCTCCTGCATTTGTTGTTGCGTTTGCGATAGAACAGCCAGATCATCTGCGAAGTCTAAATCTTCCAGCTGCATCCTAGATGTTCACTGTATCCCGTGCTTCCCCCAGATGTTGGCATTTTCATAATCCAGTCGACCACCAGGAGAAAGAGAAAGGGTGAGAGTAAGCAACCTTGCCTGACACCGGTCTTTACTTCGAGTGGGTCTATCAACTGTCCTCCATGCATGATTTTGCAGTTTAACCTATCAAAGAAATTCCGTATTATATTGACTATCTTCCCAGGCACACCGTAGTGTCGAAGAAGCCTCCATAGTGTTGTCCTGTCCACGCTATTAAGCGCTTTCTCGTAGTCAATGAAGTCGATGTAGAGTGATGAATTCCATTCAATTGATTGTTCCACAATGATCCGTAGCGTTTTAATTTGGTCTGTTCACGATCGATCCTTACGGAATCGAGCCTGTTGGTCTCGAAGTTGAGCATCTACGGAGTCCTTCATTCTGTTTAACAATACCCTGTCGAAGACTTTTCCCGGTATTGAGAGAAGAGTGATGCCCCTGTAATTATCACAGTTGCTGAGATCGCCTTTCTTCGGTATTTTGACCAGGTGTCCTTCTTTCCAGTCTGTTGGTACTTGTTCTCCATCCCAAATCTTGCTAAAGAGAGTGTGGAGTATCCTTGCAGTTACTGCTACGTCTGCTTTCAGTGCTTCTCCTGGAATTCGGAGCATTATCGGAGAGGGTATTTTAGATACTATATTGGTCAGACTGATTCCTCTGTGGTTGTTACAAGAGGATATTTGTCCTCTCTTATGGACTGGTACGACCAGCAACTGAGACCAATCAAATGGGACTACATCCAGTCCCCACATTCCAACTAAGACCTCAGTCAATCTAACTGCTAAAACTGGACC